TCCACACAGCATGGTCCACAGTCCACACAGCATGGCCTCCACTCCACACAGCATGGTCCACAGTCCACACAGCATGGCCTCCACTCCACACAGCATGGTCCACAGTCCACACAGCATGGTCCACAGTCCACACAGCATGGTCCACAGTCCACACAGCATGGCCTCCACTCCACACAGCATGGTCCACAGTCCACACAGCATGGTCCACAGTCCACACAGCATGGTCCACAGTCCACACAGCATGGTCCACAGTCTACACAGCATGGTCCACAGTCCACACAGCATGGTCTACAGTCCACATAGCATGGCCTCCCACCCTAAATGTTCCTTTTAGTTTCTCCAAATCAGAAGGTGCATCTCCTGCACTCTCCCACAGGGGTGGAACTTGGGCATGCCATTGTTGCTGAGGTTGCCCAGATTCACTCAGAGGATGAGAATGTTGGTGTTAGTCTCTCTGTGGGCTAGAACGAGCCCCTAGAGCTGGACTGGATGGGACATGACTCTGTTGGCAGGAGCTGGCTGTCAGAAATGAAGTGGGCCTGGTGGACAACCCTCTGAAGATTTCCTGGTTGGAGGGACAGCCCCAGGGCACAGTAGACCCCAGCCAACCTGGACTGTCAAAGGTAAAAGGCCAAGAGTCACTCAGCTGGCTCTGCTTGGGGCTTGGGGCCCTCTTCTGCCTCCGCTGTCATGCCCGTTCTTCCCAAGGCCACAAAGAGTAGGATGGGTTGGGAGGGCTCACCAGCCCAGGTAGGAGGGCCGACTCCCTGCTCGTCCCTTTTCTCTCTGAGGTACCAGAGCACCCTGTCCTAGGTTTTTTCTTTTCTGTTTTTATTCATTTGTTTTCTGGCACTGGGATCAAACCCGGAGTCCTGCTCACGCTCCACTGGAGGGGAAGTGCACCCCTAGAGCTACACAGAAGTTGTCTTTTGCTTGCCCTACTTGTATGTCTGCTGTCAGAGCACCATCCCTACCAAGAGAGCTTCTGTTTGCTCTTGGTCACGGTGTAAAGGATTTGTAGGAAACCCAGTGTTGGGTGAAGAGGCCAGAGGCAACTGGCTAGAGTGATGGTGTTTTCCCGGCACTTGAGTTTTCCAGGTGTGTCTCTGGCTTCCCACTCACAAACCGACTCTGAAGAGTAACGTCAGGTCTCATCTTCAACCTGGTGTGCTATATCAGGTGCTCCACTTGTGAAGTGTTCACTTCCTAGCTACTGTGGGCCCAGAGCTGCCTGTTAGTCCTCATAACCCCGCCATGGCTTGTGCTCCTCTGTCCTTCTTGGTTCAGTTTTTTAGCCTGACTGCAGAGGTTGGGGCTTACGACTCCTTCCAGTCATGTTTGCTTTGGGAAGCGCTCCTGGCTCTTCCCTTCTCTGAAGCAGCTTGACTACCTGTCGTCAGGCTCCCTGCCTGGTTACATGTCCCTGCGCCTGCCTGGGAGAGTGGAAGCACCGGGGGAGTGTGTCTGTCCTAGTTAAATTTCTATTGCCATGACAGTTTTGTCACCAGGACCAAGGCAACTTCTAAAAGAAAGCATTTAATTCGGGGCTCCAGAATGTTGTGGAGTCCATGACCATCATGTGGAGAGCATGGCAGCAGGCAGGTAGGCAGCTGGGAGCTCACAGCTACGATAACAATCACAGGGGGAGGGAAGAAAGAGAGAGTGAGAGAGAGTGTGTGTGTGTGCATGCTAACAGGGAGTGTCCCAGACCCTGGAGAGAGGAGGAACACGGAGTGGTGTGAGCCAGCTCAGGATCCTGGCTTAAGAGAAGCCTGTTCCCTACCATTAAGTGCCAGCATTTCAAATCCCAGGCAGACTCTGTGGGTTACATTAGAAAAACCTTTATTCATTGCCTCCTCTGTCCAGAGGAGCCTTGCAGCTGGGCCCCTCTGCACAGGAGCAGGAAAGAGACGTCATAGATGTGGATTTGTGGAGGCAGTGTGTGTCACAGCTTCCTTCTACCCTGTTTCACGCTTTGAGTGGCCTGGAGGCCAGGTCCAGTGCTTCTGGGCTCTGGATTCAGATCTGACCAAGCCACAGGGCAGGATAGTAGCACAGTTGGTAGCCTTGGCCTGTTTTGGGCAAGGCAGAGCCCCCCAGGCCTGTGGGCGGACTCTGGTGCCTCTTTGGTGCATCATTCTTTCCCTGGCCAGGCTATCCGCCCACTCTGCTGGAAGGAAGGCTGCTTTTCTTGCAGCCATTGCCAGAACCTCTCATACCCAATGCTTCCCAGAGCTGCTTCCCCACACACAGGGGTTGATTGCTCACAGATCTGTGGGCAGCTTGAGTCTCATGCTCTCTGTTTTGCTAATGATGCTGGACCTTTCCCCTGCATTTTCCTCTGCCTACTTGTCCTGCACTTGCAGCCCAGAGCTGGCCTCTTCCTTTCCTTACGCACTAGTGTCTGGCCAGCACAGTCCAGTGAATGTTGGTCTGTCAATACCAGTGTTTACGTTCTGTTGTCCAGTATGGTAGCCATCAGTCAAGTGTGGTTGCTGATTTAAAATGTGGCTAAGGGGGCTGGAGAGCTGGCTCAGCAATTAAGAACATACTGCTTTTCCAGAGGCCCTGAGTTCCTCCCTAGCCCCCTCATCAGGTGGCTCACAACTGCCTGTAGCTCTAGCTCCAGGGGCATTGAACACCTTTGGTCTCTGCAGGCACCAGCAGACACTTGCGTGTGTGCGCACACACTCAATCAAAAATGATTTTTAAAAACATCTTTAAAATGTGGGTAGAGGGCTGGCATGAGGCTCGTTTTTGGTAGAGTGCTTGTTTAGCATGCATGAAGTCCTGGATTCCATCCCCAGCACCACATAAAATACCTAGGTGTGATCCCAGCGCTCCAGAGGTGGAGGTTGGAGGATGAGTTTAAGGCCACCTCACTACATATGAGACCCTGTCTCAAAAACAAACAAAAATTGGCTAGGGTGAAAAGTAACTGAATTTTTCTTTGTGTTTGTATCCATATGGGGTGTGCGTGTGTGTGTGCGTGTGTGTGTGCGTGTGCGTGTGCGTGTGCGTGTGCGTGTGTGTGTGCACGCGTGCGCGCTCGCGCACGCGCATGTAGGACAGAGGTTGATCTCAGGTGTCTTTCTTGATCGTCACTTTTTATTTACTGAGGCAGGGTCTCTGGACCTGAAGTCTGCCGATTTGGCTAGTCTAACCAGCCAGCCTGTCCCTGGGACCCCTCCTTTCCCCACCTAACCCTAAAATTCCAGGTGGCTGGCACACCTGCCCAGCTTTTCAGTGTGGGTACTGAAGGTGTGAACCCTGGTCCTCCTGCTTGCACAGCAAGCACTTTGTCCTCTGAGCCATTCCCCAGCCTCTGGAATGGCATCTTCAGTTTGCTTTTATTACATTAACTTAACCAGTCATGAAGTCAGTGGTGACTTGTCTATTCCTGTCCCTCTCTGGCCTCCCAACTCTCCTTTACTCTCAGACTGCTTCTTCCTAGATGTGGCCTGTGACTTCCCTGATGACAGTGGTTTGGAGGCTGGTACAGGCACTGTCTGTCCTGCCCAGTCTGAGCCCTACTCTCTGACTCGCCCCTCTGCCATCCCGTCTCCGCTGACCTCTGAATGATTCCTGTGGTTGCAGGTTGGAGCTTCCTTTTCCTGGCCTCTCCAGCTTCCTTCAGGGCTCCTGTCACAAAGTGGCCCCATACATTCCCAGCTGGCTTCTGTGCCTTCACTCTGGGTGATTTGGAGGATTGGTCAACAGCCAGAGGACAGGCACGACTGTGGCTTCCTGTCCCCGCCTGTTCTTTAATCCACACTGTACCTTCCACCCCACAGGCTCCACTCCTCCCGTCTCCCCAGTTCTCTCTTTCCTCACCAGGGTCAGAAGTGGGGCTCACTGGGGAATTGCTCCTTCAGCATCTGTAGAACTTCCTCCAGAAGTGAAATCCCCAGGTCCACTTTGAAGGAGAAGAAAGGGTCACTGAGGTCCGGAGTAGGTGTCCTCGGGAAATGGGGAGTGTCCAAAAGGCCCTCCTCTGAGCACTGGTGGAGGGGTCCTGTCAGGGAGATGGCTGAGGGCAAGGTGGCCGAGTAGGAAGCAGTGTAGGTTGCCGGGGGCTCCAAAATGTTGGGGCAGCTGGAGCTGTCTCGGTAGAGGCGCGGGGGCTTGGGTGGGGCCAGCAGGGTGGCCCGGGGCTGCTCATCCCCCCACAGGGGCAGCCGCCGGCCATCTGGCCTCCCTTGCAGTTCCCGGATGACTTCTCGGTTGCTGTACTCCTCGTGGTCACCGCCAGCAGTGCTGGCCTGGCTAAGTATGCTGCCCTGTCGCCGAAGTCGCCTGGGCCGCCCCAGGGTCACTCGCTTGAAAAAGGAGGCGTTGCGGAAAGAGCCTTTTCGCCAAGTCTCCATGGAGCTCAGTTATCCAGTGGGTCTGGCATCTGAGAAGCCCCACAAAGGGGCTCAGCAAGTGACCATTTGCTAGAGTGCCGAATGCCAGGAACCAGGACACACCCTTCAGAGGCTACTAGCAGAGGCTGTGGGTTTCTCCTCACGGTGGGCCTTGGTTTTCCGCCTTGGAGGCAAGACTAACAGGAGGAAGATTTGTCCAGGAGATCAGAGCGTTAGGAGTTCCTACCTGGATAAGAGTGGCCTGGTTACTTGATCTGCACGTGGAAAAAACCCAAAGGAAGCAGCAGCACTTACTGGGCAGAGCAGGACAATACACGGCCAAGGGCTGGTGTGCAGGGCTGGCCTTCCCTCGGGAGCAGCTCTCCTTCCACAGCAGGCAGCAGCTGGGCCCCTGTCCACCTTTTCTCCGGTGGTTCCTGGCGTGTGCTGATCTCCTGGCCAGTGTAGGGCTGTGCTCTCTGCCAGCATCTGGGGACTCTGATTAGTGGCTTGGCTGTTTGTGCCAGCGTGTGGTAGAGCTGTGTTTTGTTTTCAGCTGACTCAGTCAGGTGGGAAGCCGGTTTCATGCTCTGAGGTAATTGCAGCATCCGCAGGCTGGGATTGGGGCAGCTGTGACCAACACCCCAGGGCAGTAGGACGCTTCAGATTCCTCTGGGGCCAGGCCTGCTCGGTGTGTCATCAGGTTACTTCCTTTCTGGTCAAGGCCCCGCCACCTTGACCCCAGCAGGCCTGCCCGGCTCCGGAGCCTCAGATGTCTCTGGGAGGAGCCCAGGCAGGTAGTGCTAATTGAAAGGCGACTTTTGGAACAACTGCTGGGGAAGAGAGAGAGACCTGCCGGGGTGGGTGACTCAGCCTCCCCTCCCCCTCCGCCTGCTGGATGACAGGCCGTCATTAGCCAGGCCACAGGAATGGTGGGGAAGGATGTGGAGGGTGTGTTAACGGGGAGCAGCCCCATGCCTGTACAGGGCTGCTCCTCCCAAGGCGCCGGGGCATGCCAGGGGTGACTTGAAGTTTTCTTGGAAGAGCAATGCAAACTTGGGGAAGGAGCACTGCCCTCCTCACAGCTGGAACCTCAGTGTGGCTGCTGAGCTTCTTACTCTATTCCTCACTCCAGCAGGCCCGTGCCCTGCTGCTCCCATGATGCTCCTGTCCTTTCCCTCTGGCCTCCTTTGGGGACCCTCTTGTGGGCGGGATCAGGACGTGTGAGCTTGCTGTGAATTGCAGGTGGTTGGTAGGGGCATTATTGGGGTGAGGGAGGTCTAAGGTCAGGGGGACCAGGCTGGGTATCACTTTCCATTTATCTGCACCCCTTACTTCAAACAAGTTAGCCAGGGCCTGGCAGCGTCAGCCACTCCCATCTTATTCCCCGGCGGGGTTGACTTCTTCAAGCCTCCTCCTGTGGGAGGCTCCAGTGTGGGGTGCCCCCAGCAGACTCACCCCTTTTGTCACAGATGGGCCACCATACTTGCAACCCCTGTCCTGGCTGTTGAGCCGACTCTAGTGGGTTTCCCACCTCTCTGATCAGCTGTATGATCATGAATGGTATCGCAGCTGCAGCTGTGCTAAGGGGGGAAATGACGGGACTCAGTGTTGTCTTGACAGACTGTGGGCTCGGCTCGGCAGCACAGTGCTCTGCCATAGGGCTGCTTCCCTGTCCACAGCCTTGGCGCATTGGTGGCCGTCTAGTCCGAGGTTATTAAAGTGTAGCCTTCCTCAGTCCCCTGCCCTATGGAAGTGTGGGTCGGGGTTTTTATGAGGCAAGCTGGGCTCTTGCTTGCTTTTCTCATGTAGAAAAGGCACTTTGAGGCTGTGGGGGCAAAGTCCCCAGGAGGAGCCAGACCTCAGGGGGAAGTGCTCTGGTCTGTGTCCAACAGAGGGTGGGGATCCTGCCAGGCAGAAGCCAGGGGTGGAGGAAAAGTCAGATAAAGAACCGAGAGGAAATGAAGCGGGAGGGCCAGGCCAGCACATAGGAAAGTGAGTCACGAGGAAGGACTGAGCTAGAGCAGGATGCAGAACGCTGTGACGTCCCGTAAATGGAGATTGGGGGAGCTTAGAGATGAACTGAAGGAAAGCAGCAGCCCTGGAGCCTAGGCCTGCTTTCTCTGAGGTCCTGGAGGAGCTGGAATTGAAGTGGTCTGGGTCCTGCCCTTCTTCCTCCTTGGCTTTTAGACTTGGCTGTCTAGGCCCTATACTGACTCTATAATCTGTGGGGCTGTGCCTAAACTAATGTCCTGACTCCTCTCTGTCCCTTCTGTCTCCAGGGCTCAGTGCTGTCAGAAAGGGACTATGAGAGTCTCGTCATGATGCGCATGCGCCAGGCGGCTGAACGCCAGCAGCTGATCGCCCAGATGCAGCAGGAAGATGACGGTCAGCCCACGTAGCCCCGGCTCCAGCCTCCCATCCCCACTCTTTTCTTAATCATAATATAACCAATAAACTTTTTTATAAACAGTCTACTTTTCTCATCTCAGGCTGGGCTCTGAGAGGGCTCCACTCAGGCCAAGGGCTTTATTCACGGACAGGGACAGACCAGTAGAGAATGCTGCATCTCAAGTCACTGCACAGCAAAGCTGAAAACGACCAACTGTGAGAGCCCTTTATTGGCTTGGACTGGCTGTGTAGGATCCAGGGACTGTCCTCTGGCTAGCCTGCCCAGGTCAAGGCCTCAACCCAGGGCAGCTGAAAGCACCGGGGCAAGGGCCTGCTGTACCCACCCAACTAGAGCAAGGTTGCCGAGGCTGTTCACGGTCCATCGGTGTGGGCAAGGAAGTTGACAATATGCAGAGATAGGCATGGCAGACAGTGATGCAAGGATGTGGTCGGGGCACATGGCGGTCTCCACACAATCTATACTCCGTCCACGAGTCAGCGCAGGCAGGTCATTCCTTGTGCAGGCACCACACCAGCGTCTGGCCCACCCCTGTCATGCTCAACACACGGAAACCCACTAGTTCCAGCTTGTCCAGGACTATGCGAGGAGGGTCGTTGACGTAGTATTCATAACTGTGAAGAGAGCAGGAGAGCGGCGTGAGTACCCGTACAAAGCTGGCGTCTGCTCGGTGCCAGGCCTGTCTGCTGCGCACTTGACCGGGGACAGGGGCAGAGCACATCCCCAGCTCTGCTCTTTGCTACAGACCTGTTTTACCCTCCCGACACTGCGATGAAGTACCGTTGCTATTCCTGCCCATACCTGAGAAAGCAGGCCCTGCCTGCCGTGAGTAGCAGGTCCATGGTAGCCTGGCCGCTGCTGTGTGTAAGTCCAAGTACCCACTGAGTAGTCTTGGCCCCTCTCTGGCTGCCCTGCAAGCCTGGAGCAGCAAGTTGGCACCTGATAGCACCTGGATCCATGTGCCATTGGCTGGCACGGAGAAAAAATTTTCCCTTGAGTTGTAAAGCCCATGAAGTGGATAAGGGGTCCAAACGCCAAGCTTGGCGTCTTGGAACAAATGTCTCGTGGCAAGACACGGAGTTGGCTTCTCCCTGCCTTGACCAAAGTATTGTGATCTGTTGTTGTCTTCTCTTCCTGCACTTGGGGCTCTCTTCTCAGGATCCCTGAACTCCCTTGGTGCTTCTCCCCATCACAGTAGGTGTGATGGTTTTAGTGAGAATGGTCCCCAGATGGTGGAACTGTTTGGGGAAGGATTAGAAGGTGTGGCCTTCTAATTGGAGGAGGCGTCACTGGGCTTTTAGCTTTCAAAAAGGCTGCTCCAGGCCCAGTGTCTGCAAGATGTAAGCTCTCAGCTACTGCCCTGGCACTATACCTGCCTGCTGCTGCCATGCTCCCTGCCATTTTGGTTATGGGCTTGCTCAATGCAAGCCCCCAACTAAATGCTTTCTTTTACACGTTGCTTTGGTGGCTCAAATGAAAATAGCCCCCAAAGACTGATATATTTTAATGCTTAGTTACTAGGGACTGTTTGAGAAGGATTAGAGCTGTGGTCCTCAAACTGTAGGTCATGACCCCTTTGGGGTTGTCAAATGACCCTTTCACAGGGTCACATATCAGATATCCTGCATATCAGATGTTTACATTATGACATTCATAACAGTGGTAAAATTACAGTTACCAAGTATCAACAGAACAATTTTATGGTTGGGGGTCACCACAACACGAGGAACTGTATCAAAAGGTCACGGTAGGAAGGCTGAGAACCACCAGATTAGAAGGACTGGGGGATGTGGCCTTGTCGGAAGTAAGTCACTGGGTGTGGGCGCTGAGGTTTCAAAAGCACAAGCCAAGCCCAGGGTCTCTCTCTCTCTGCCTGCGGCCTGCAGATCAGGATGTAAAGCTCTCAGCTACTGCTCCATCACCTGCCGGTTGCCGCCGCCATTCTCCCCACTGTGCTCATCATGGACTGACTAATCCGCCAAAACTGCAAGCAAGCTCCCAATTAACTCCTTCCTAAGAGTTGCCTTGGTCATGGTGTCCCCTTCACAACCACAGAACACTGGGACGGTGGGTGAGGACGTAGAAAGGGAAGTGGTTGTTCAGACACAGGGACGATCTGAAGGATTCTGAGGGCTGCGCCAATTGCCCAGCAACCCGGAAAGGCCGCAGGTGTCCTGCCATCACTCAGGCAGCCCTTCCAAGGTGAAGCTGGTCTTCACTGATGGGCTGCAGCAGAGAGGACGAGGCAAGAACAGTTCATTTCCAAACTCAGAACAGGCTGTTCCGGACTTCCACCAAGGATGAGCTGCTGTGTGACGGAAGGCTGGGGGTTTGTGGGAAACGTTGGGCCCGGTGAGGGATTATAGACGAGACCGAGCCCTACAATGGCTTTTGCCTCAGGGCTTGGCGGTTGTGTAAAGGGAAAGGCAGGACGAGGCGCTGCGGGCCGAAGGTCGCCGCTACTTACAAGTTGTTCCCCAGGACGCTTCTCTTGGAGGCCCCAAGGTACCTCATCAGCTCCGGATCCGAATCCTCATCACCCACCATGGTGGGGCCCACCTCCTGCGAGGTAAGGCACAGTAGCTGCTCAGCCGGCTGCCAGGCGGGCGCGGACAGCCCCTCCCCTCGCCCCTCCCCCGCCCTGAGGAAGCTATAGGTGAAGGGGAAGCGGGACTGAGGGTCCGCGGAGGCTGAGCGCAAGCTAAGAGGGGAGCAGGGGGAGCCCTCCCGACTTCCTACACAGCTGCCTCCAAACAGCGCCTGCCTATTGGCACCTGCAGGCCAGGTGCCACCAGCCATGTTTCATGTAGACTGGCATCACCTGGAGAAGGAAGGCCACGCACACACGCGTCCACATAAAAATGCGTGCACGGGCAGGTGCGCTGACACCAAAACGAAAAACAACAACAGAAAGCCCCATCGCATCTTCCTAGCAGAACTGCTCACAACAACCTAAAGGCAGGGGCAGCCCGATGCTGGTCAGTTGATGAGAAGTGAAACGTGGCCAGCCTTAGTCAGGCGGTGGGGGCCCATGTCTTTGATTCCCAGTTCTGAGAAGGTCGATGCAGGTGGATCCAACCAACAATCCAACCCTATTATTTAATAGAGCCAAGCCTGGTGGGACACGCCTGTAATCCCGCACTTGGGAAGCAAGACCAGCCTCCAATACATAACAAATTTGAGGCCAGCCGGTGCTACATGAGACCCTGTCCCAGAAAAAAAAAAAAAAAAAAAAAAAAAGAAAGAAAGAAAAAGAGCAAAAAGCATAATTATTATATGAGGAGGAGGACATTTCCAATCTCTCCAGAGTTTCTGAAGGTCTTGGGAACGCGCCCAGCAATCCAGATTTTAACAGCTGCACACGTTTCCTCCCCCGCCCCCCACCTTTTTTTTTTTTTTTTTTTTTTTGAGACGAGGGTTTCTCCGTGTAGCCTTGACTGTCCTCGACTCACTTTGCAGACCAGGCTGGCCTCTAACTCACAGAGACCCGCCTGCCCCTGCCTCCTAGAGTGCCGGAATTCCAGGTGTGGGCCACCGCGCCCGGCTCGACCGTACACGTTTTCAAACCACTGCCCTCTGTGGCACTTGCCGAAACCTCTCCTGTTCCCGGGAGCGAGGGGTGCACCCTCCGCTGGGCGTTGGAAGAGGACCATGGCGCGCCCTGCCGTCCAGCCCGGGGAAGAGGCGTCACGCAGCCTTTGGAAGTTACAAGGGGGCTTCGGGGGCAGCCGGGACCTTCCCCCACCCGCAGCCGAGGAAGCTGAACCTCTCCCCGGGCCGCCCGCAGCCCCATCCCTCGCCTCTAGCCCCGAGTTGGGTGCAGCAGACCCAGCCCTTCCTGGAAGGGGCGACAGGTGCTCGGAGCGTCAGTGCTCGCGGCTCAGCGTGGCCTGGACCCCGGGCTCCAGCCCTCGGGGGGTGTCCTCCCGGAGCTCCCCGGCCCCCGCGCCCGGTACTCACCATACGGATCTGGGTGCTGATGAGCAGATAGGGCATGCTGCGTGGCTCGGACTGCCCGCGGCCGCGGTCCCGTTACCCCGCGCTCGGCCCACGGGCGGCGCTCGGCGGCGGGGCGGACCCCGCGCGGGCCAATCGGGAGCTCGCGCCGCGGCCCCGCCGCCCCGGAGACCGGGAAGCGGGCGGGAACTGCGCCGTGCGCCCGGCTCCGGCCGAGAACTTCCGTGCGCCGGGCCGGGCTGGAGGCGTCGGGTTCCTCTGCGGTCCCTCGGCTGCGGCTCCCTGCGAGCCTGGGGCCCAGCACCTGCGCGCCCGGCCGGGTGCCAGCCCGCTGGCTGTAAACACGCGGGAGCCGCTCCTCCTGCCCCGCGCGTAGATCACGGGGTGACCCCCGGGGCGCAGACACGTCCGCTCGCTGAACCTGCTCCCCGTGGGAGGGCGGCGAGGTCACGGGCAGCCGGTCCACGCCCTCGTCTAGAAGCTGCCGGTTCGACATTCCTCAACGCACACGCTGTGTGATTGGCTCCCTGAAAAGCAGAGAGGGCCAAAACGTCGTGGAACACACCCCCACGCCCGTCCTGGAAACCTGCGCTTCTCACCTAACTGGTCTGATTTATTTATAACGTCCCCTTCCAGCCCCTCTGGCACCCCGACAGTTTGGCTAGAGGGGTAAAGCACATCACTGTTCTGTTGAACAAAGAGCTCCTTAACCGGGAAGGCAGAGGCTGAGGCTCGAGGTTGAACTCCCAGTGCTGAGAGGGGGAATAAAAACCTCATCATGGTCTGACACGGACTCTGTTGCCTGCTCTTTGATCACTTCTCCCTGGCGCCTCGCCAGGCCACGGGAGAGAAAAGGATGAGCTCGGTCTTGATGCGACTTGATGTGCTGGGGTGGGGGGTGGGGCTCCCCTTTTCTGAGGAGTAGGGAAGGGAGGAGAGGGGGAAGAGAGAGGAAGGATGGGACTGGGGGGAGGGGAGGCAGGGGCTGCGATTGGGATATAAAGTCAATCAATCAATCAATCAACAGATCCATCCTCGTCATAGGACCTGTAAAGAACTCCTACACGTCCTGAGATGTAGCTCAGTCAGCTCAATGGTACAGTGAGTTTCATCTCCAGCACCACACAAGGCAGGTAAGGTGAAAGGTAAGCCGGAAGTGGGAGCTAGAATAAAAGAAACCCTTTCTCCTCTAAGTGGCTTTGGTCAGAGTATCTAATCTCAACCACAAGAAGGTTGTCAGGATTGGCAGCAAGCGTCTTACCCACTGAGCCGTCTCCATGACCCCTGAACTTCATCTGTAAACCACTGCCTTACAGTTAAGAGAGAAAGGAAGAAACTTAAGATGTGTTAAGCTTGCCAGGTGTGTGGTGCACAGCTGTGGTTCCAGCTACTTCAGAGACTGAGGCAGGAGAAGTTAAAGACCAAGGAGGCAATATAATAAGATTCCATGGTGGGGGTCATGGTGGGTCACATCTTCACATCTCTAATCCCAGTAAATCAGGATGTTAGGCCCAGCAAGAGCCTAAATATAAGAAGGTATGAAGAGAACTCAGGAAACTAATCATCCATCGATGCAAAAACGCAAGAGACTCCTCTTGACCATTGCGCAATGGGGTCACCCCTGCTGGTCAGCTAGGAGTGGCACCGGGAGACAAAGACCTTAGGTTTTTGAAAGACACAAGGCGGGAATCTCCTCGGGTTGACTTCTTGTCGATTTAGGATTGGATGAAGTGTTTAACTTTTAAAATAATTGGTTGGTTCTGGTCACCCTTAGGTCCAGTCAGCCCTGTCGTAAATATCTGATCATCAAGTCAGTTTGGAATTTCCTGCCATCCACAGTTAAATATGGGAGCATGATTAACTCATCCCATGTCTGTTCTGAGGAGTGGGGGTTACAGGCTTTGGATCAAAGATCAGGAGAAGGATTGGGGCCATTTGGCCCAGTTTCCAAACAAAGCCCATCTCACCGGTGCCAGGTGATTTTTTTTTTCTCTATTTAGTAGAGATCTCTGCTTGTTCTCTTCCTTATCTCTGCCCTCACAGATGGATAATGTCAGGAACTTTTACATTCCTCGGTTCTCTGGAGAAGCACTAAGAGGCTTTAATTAACATGGGCCTAAAACTTGCAAATATAAGTTATAAGGCAATTAGAAGAAACATAGGTTACAAAGTTAGTCTGACTCTTTCAAGGAGACACAGTTGCTTCAAGTTCAAGGCCAGGCTGTGTTGCAGTGTGAAATCTGTCTTTAGGAGGGACCCCTGCTCTTTCAGTTCCCAGCACCCACGTTAGGTGCTTCACAACTGCCTGTAATTCCAAGGGAGCCAAGGCCCTCTTCTGGCCTCCGCAGACACCTGCTCACTCACATACACATAAATAAAAATAAGTCGTAAAAGAAAATATTTCCTTCTTATACACACACACACACAAAAAAAAAAAAAAAAAAGAAAAAGAAGGGGAAGAAAAGACTGTAAAAACCAGGTGTAGGTGAGGCGCTGGGGGTTAGGACTGCCTGCCAGCTGAGAACACTTCTGCTGATCACAGACTGTGACTGACCCAGTCAAATTTCACCCCCCTCCTGACAAAACCAAACCTCTCCCAGATAAACCAGGCCCGGGGTGATGGACACCTGTAACCCCAGCAACCCAGCAGGCTGAGTCAGGAACATGGAGTCTGAGGGCAGTCTAGGTCACCTCACCTTGATACGCGCTTCATCTCATCTCAGAAGCTAATCAGCTCTGCTCCGAGCTTGGATGAGCGCGCCGGAGGACAGTCTGGGCTACACAGTGAGAACTTATCTAAAAATGAAAACCAAACAAACGTTACACAAAGTTCCGAGATAGGTAAAGCCAAATGCTTTGTTGTGTGACTTGAAACAGGCAAAAGTGTCAGTTTAAGCTTAGAAACGTAAAGGAGCCCTATTTTGGGGTCTTGGGAACTGCAGCTTGGGAGACATAGGTTTGGGTAGGCTCTGAACCAGTGTTCCAAAGCAAGTAGGGAGAGTGAAGCTCATAGTGAGGAAAACATCTGAACTCATTACAAGATCCTTATATTAGTCAGCTTCGTGTTACTGTAATGAAACACCTGGGATACTTAACTTATAAAGGGAAAAAGGTCCCGCATCTGAAAGGTGGGAGGATGAAGGACTGGGAATTGAGGCCAACTTGGGCTACATAGAAAGATTGTCTCAAACAAACAAAACACAACCTTAGCAGTGAAGAGCGCGACCGATTGTTGTGCAACGATGAGAACTCTAGTTTGGAAACCAGAGTCCATGTGACAAGATAGATGTCTCCACAAAGGCCTGCAGCCCACAGGAAGGCACAGGCAGGAGGGCCTCTGGCTTCCAGCCCAGATGAGGCAGCTTAAGTTCTCCCAGGTTCAGGGAGAGACTGCTTCAAAGAAACAGGTAGCGCACTAGAGGATGCTCAATGCCCTCCTCTGCCCCCATCGCGCTGCATGCGCGCGCCCCCCCCCCACTGCTAAGGAGAGAGAGAGAGAGAGAGAGAGAGAGAGAGAGAGAGAGAGAGATCACTTTGACTGGCGTGGTAGAGTCCCATCTCAAGAGCAGGTATCCCCATCAATATGAGCTTCCGGGGAGGACTGTGCGCCGCCGTGGGACGCGCGGGTGGGATGACGCGCTCAGAATCCAGGCAGCGGGGTCTAGACTGAGGCTAGGGCCTCCAGCTCTCCACAAGGGCTTGCCGCTGTGACGAAGACCTTCCCTAGGCCCCACATCCTAGAGCTTCACCATTTCCCAGGAATGCCACCCTCCAGATCCAGTCACTGACGCCTAGACATTTGAGGGACGCTGGACCAAACTGTAGCCATAACTAAAATTGTTCGGCCAAGCACTTGGGAGGCGGAAACAAGAGGATCAGCATGAGTTCAAGGCCAGCCTCGGCTACAAAGTGGAGTTCTGTTAAAATAAGAACAGAAGGGCTGGAGAGATGGCTCTGTGGTTAAGAACATGTACTGTTCTCGCAGAGGATCTGAGTTCAACTTCCAACGCCCACACCAAGCAGCTCAAAACTGCTTGTAACTCCAGCATCCAAGAGATTCCCTAACGTCAAGCACATGCCCTTCTACAGACATACACACGTTCGTGTAAACAAATAATAATTAAAAATATTTTAAAAACAAAGTCGGGCGCAGTGGCGCATGCTTTTAATCCCAGCACTCAGGGAGGCAGAGGCAGGCGGATCTCTGAGTTGGAGGCCAACCTGGTCTACAAAGAGAGTCCAGAACAGCCAAGAAACTTTGTCTGGAAAAAAAATCCAACAATAAGATAAATAAATAAACACAGAAGATAAATAAACGGGTAAATAAATAATTATTTAAAGGGAAGCTGCTTGTGAAACAGAATAAGAATTTGTTTGACTTGGTTGTTGTTGTTTGACTTGGTCCATGTGACCCACAGAAACCCCGACTGTGTGGACCAGCGGAAATGTATCTGAGGCGAGAGTCCAGTAGCAGCCTGATAGGCATCTTGAATCTCTGGGCACACTGTAATTATCTGCTGTTCCAGAGGCGCAGATGGAGGGCGGGGCTCAAGCTCCCAGCAGAAGCCTGCGTCCTGAGCCCTTTATGGCATCCTGACTTCATTTTAAAAGCCTCTCCCCCCACCAGCCCGTTCCTTTGCCCTTCTTCTCTCATCTTTCCCCCTTCCCCCTTCTCCCCTTCCTCCCCCTCTCCAGTCCTTCCCCTTCCATCCCTCTTCTTCCCCCTCTTTTCCCTTCTGTTTCTCCATACTTGAGGTCCCCTAGGTAGCCCAAGATACCCTGGAGTTTGCTATCCTCCTGCCTCAGCCCCTAGCCCAGAAGATTATAGTTACGTGTCTGCATAGTCTGGCTGGAAAGGATCCTTCACTGTTGTTCCCATAGTGGTGTTCCTTTTATCTTCACAAACTGTGTGGTCAAGTTAAAAAAAAAAATGGATGGATAGTATACTATCCACAGAGCCATTACCTCTGAGACAGACAGGAAATGGGCAGGGTAGAAGGGTGGGGGATGGGGTGGTTTACAAATGCTAATTTTTTTCCCCAAGGTCTCTTTATATAGTGCCTGGTGGCCTGGAGCTCATTA